CATGGAGCCACCGCGCCCATTCCAGCACACCTCTGACACGTTTCGTGGCCGCATAGAGCGCTCCACCGAGGGCCCCAGCGGCTGCGCTCACATGGCACCACCGCGCCCATTCCGGCGCACCCCTCACACGCTTCGTGGCCCCGTGGGAAGCTCCATTGAGGGCCCCAGCGGCTGCGGTCGCACGGAACCACCGCACCTATTCATATCGGTGCATTCCTCACACGCTTCGTGGCCCCATGGGGCGTTCCACCAAGGGCCCCATTGGCTGAATTCGCATGGCACCACCGCGCTCATGTCGGCATTTCCCTTGCACGTTTCGTGAGGGCTTCAGTGGTTGCGCTCGCATTGCAATACCGTGCCCATTTCAGCACACCCCTCACACGCTTCGTGGCCCCAAAAAGGGGGGTTACACCGAGGGCCCCAGTGGCTGCGCTCGCATGGCACCACCGCGCCACTTTCGGCACGCCCCTCACACGCTTCGTGGCCCCATGGGGAGCTTTACCCAGTGCTGCAGTGTCTCTCCGTTGCCACTCTGGCTCAAGACCCCATGCTTGGGAGGCTGCAAGCCTCCAGGCGAAAACGGGATAGCTCTGTTCCCCGAGCTTGCGATTCATCCTCTTGTGGTGCCAGGCCCGCCCCTGGTCATCACCTGCCTCCCTCAGCCCGAGGGTGCGCAGTCTTGTTCCGACTCTGTCTGGTCGCTTGGGCCCTCTGGCTCTCATGGCGAAGTGCTGGCAGTGCGCGCGCTGCGGTGGTTATACGCCACAACATCTCTCACTCAGTATCAAGGCTGGCTGTAAGGGCAAGCAGACGGACCACAATGTACAAGCAGCGAACGACAAACACAAGCCTGGGGGTAAGTGGGCAGTCGGCGGCGGCAACCTCGGAGCTCCCTGGACCAAGCAGGGACCCAAAGGCGGCGGCGGCAAAGGGCGTGGTGGCAAAGGGCTCGGACCTAACGGCGGAGGGCCTGCTGCCCCCGCGACCCTCACGTTCTTGCCAGAGAAGATTGCAGCCTACGCAGCCATGGCCATGGAGTCGTATGAGATCGTCAAGGACGGACTTTCACGCAGCAGTCGAGACAAGGTCGAGCTGGCACGTCGCAAGGCAGCCGCTGGTGCCTTGGGCTCGGAGGTGCGGAAGCTCCCTCTGGCAGTCGATTCAGCATCGCTGGCCGTCGCCGACGCCACAGCCAAGCGCGAGCGCCTTTGGGAAAACTCTCGCACGGCTCTGGAGGCGCTGGCAGAAGCGGATCGGGCCCTCGCCGAGCGCAAGGCGGAGCTCGAGCAGGCCAAGAAGCAGGCGGCGAAGCTCTACTCGCCCACCGCGGCCGAGGACACGCTCCGCTCCGTCAAAGACAAGGTCGCCTCCACCGACACGGAGGGCAAGTCGGGCGCTGAGGCCCTGGCTAGCCTCGCCACGATTCTGGGCGAGACATCACCTCCCGCCTGGGCGTCCTGACATCCAGCGGCGCTGGTGCCTGGTCGCGCCATCACCTCCCGCTTCAGTGGTGTCTGCAGAGGCGGCGTCGCGTGAGTCAACGTGTACCTGGAGGTCAACGTCGGGCTTATCAGAGCAATGCCGACGCCCTCTACGCGGTGCTCAAGGCCCCGCAGGCGGCCAACAGGCCCTTCATCGTGTGCGGGGTCTTAAACATGGAGCCGTCAGTCTTGGAAGAATCTGGCTGGCTAGAGGCGGCGCAGGCGGTCGTTGCCGCGCCCGCGGAGGCCACGTGCAGACCTGCTGGCAGGATCATCGATTATTTCGCGGTCTCGAGGCTCTTCCGCGGGGCAAAGGCCAGCGGCGCCCACGGGCTGGACCCCTGCCCGCACTATCCAGTTGCGCTCGAGCTGCTCGGCCCGAGCAGGCACCAGAAGGTCACCGTCGTACGCGCGGCCAAGCGGCTGCCCCTGCCCAGGCCAAGGCCGCCGGCCTGCTGCGCGCGGGATCATGGCCCAGCTTGGCGGGCCGTTCGTGATCAGCTCGAGCGCGTGACCGACCTAGACAGCATGTGGCAGGCTTTCGTCAATCAGGCGGAGGTCAACATGATTGACGCGCACGGGCTCATCCACGACCTCGACAGGTATTCAGGCCGCGCGGAACGACCCAGGCTTTCAGCCACCTCAGCCACGGCGACGTCGCCGCCTAGGCTGCCGCGCGTCACTCGAGCTTCGACCTGGCGCAGGTCGGTGGCTATCTGTCTCCGAGACGCAGCGCAGATCGAGCGGCCGCTCACCAGGTTCGGAGCCCTGCGTGCCTTGGGCAGGCTAGCTAGCAGGCCGCCGTCCGACCTCACAGAGCTGCAGGGCGTGGTCAGCGTCATCGCCAGCGGCGCGCAGGATTTCTCCCTGGATCAGCTGGAGGTGCTCAGCGCGGCGTGCTTCAGCTGGTCCGAGGGAATGGTCAAGACGGATCTCGATCAAGCCTCCAAGAACTACAACGACTGGGTGCTGCACTCTGTCGCCACCGGCTCAGGCGGCGCCCATGCTGTCGCGAAGACGGCCCAGATTTGGAATGCGAAGCCAGCCAACGCAGTTGGCGTGGCGCCGCTCACCATTCAGATTCAGCAGAGCCTGCGGGCGTTGGTCGACGAGTGGTCCGTTCTTTGGGACATCGTCGCCCCCCAGGCCCTGCCAGCCCAGGCAGCAGGTGGCGGCGTGCATGGTGCGAAGACCCCGAGGGAGCTCGAGCCTGAGAGGCACCGTCTGCCCCGGCCTGGGGACCTCGGAGAACGCCCCGACAGGCCTACGGCGGCTGAGCTACGGAAAGTGATCTCGTCCTTCAAGCCTCGGTCTGGGCCCAACTTTGACAGCGTCCGTCCAAGTAAAATCAATGTGATTGATGGCCTGGGCATTGTGGCCCTCATTGATCTGCTGATGGCTATCGAGCAGCAAGCAGATTGGCCCAGTTTCACCACCAAGATGGCCTTCATTCCCAAGGTAGATGGAGGCCTTCGACCCATTGCGTTGTTGGTAGCGGTGGTCAGAGTTCACGGCCGGCTTCGCAGGCCCATCATGCAGCTGTGAGAGAAGGCCAGTGACAGGCCCTGCTCAGGGCGCTCATGTGACAGAGCGGTGTGGCAGCCGCAGACGAGACTAGAGTAGATTGCGATGATGGCTGAACTTTCCCGATCAAGACTGGGCCTCTGCCAGCATGCTGCTGGACCTTTGGAAGGCATTCGAGCAGGTCGCGCATCGGTGCTTTGTGCAGGCAGCCACCAAGTTCGGTTTTCCGATCTGGCTGGCCAAGCTGCAGGTCTCTCTGCACCGTGCGCCGAGGGTGCTGCACCTCGACGGGTGCTGCCCGCAGGAGTTGCAGGTGTTCCAGACGGCGTTCGCTGGGGACGCGTTCGCCACGGGCTTCATGGAGCTCATGTTGTTACAGCCGCTCGACGAGGTGGTCGCGCAGTTCGGGGCCGTTGCGCCAGCCATCGTGGTCGACGACCTGGTGCTCTAGCGCTGGGGCGGTGCCAAGTGCGTGGAGGGCGACATTGCGGGCGCGACTCGTGTGTTGGTGCAGCAGCTGCAGAACGTTAAGCTCAATATCGCGGTCACGAAGTCTAAGGTCATGGGTAACTCACCAGGCTTGCGCAGCAGCATATCGAGGCGCCTGCCCAGGATTGCTGGAGTCCAAGGGGCGCGTCGCGCGCACAACCTGGGCATTTGCCATGCAGAAGGGCGACGTGCTGCTCGGGCCCTTCGGCAGCAACGCCTAGCCAACGTCGAGCTTCGCCTGGGCGAGGTGCGGAGCTTTTTGGGCCCGAGGCGCGGGCGCACTGCCGCAGCCAAGGTTGCGTTCACATGCCTCCACCCTTCGGTGTTGTACGGCGTCAACTGCGCTGGCCTCAACTCCAGCGAGTTGTCCAGGATGCGTTCCATCACGGTCAGAGCCGTGGAGCCACGGCCAGCAGGCAAGAATGCCACCGCAGTCCCGATGCTCTCGGGGGCCAAGAATTTGGACCATCTTCACTACCACACTGGGGCGTGTCATGATGCTGGCCAAGGCTGCATGGGATAAGTGGATTTCGACGTCCATTGTGCAGCCAAATTTCAAGTGGAACGTGAAGGTCGCCAAGCATTGGGGCGACGTACGTGGTCCGCTCGGGGCAGCAGTAATGTCCTTGCAGAGGATCGGGTTCACAATCGGCTCCAATACTGATTGGGTCTCCGACGCGGGCGAGAAGCTCAATTTGGCGGTGCACTCCCCCTGGGCGGCCAAGCAGATTGTCACGGGGGGCGTCGAGCGGTGGCAGTTGGCTCAGTTGGTCAAGAGTACGCACTACGACATCTACGGTGCTGGCGGCGTCTTCCTGCCGCAGGTCAGGCGGTGGGCCGCGTCGGGCCGAGGCTCCACCATGATCGCTAAGCTTTGGAGGACGTTGACGCCCAGTGAAGCTGGGCATGCCAGATCATGCCTGGTGGGCGGTCAGCGGCTCAACGAGCGGCGCTGTGCGGCAGGCCTCAGCTTTTACTCGGT